AGAGAGAGACGATGCAGACGAGAGAAAAGGAAAAAGGAGGTGTGGAGAGAGAAACGATGGGATAAAGAAAGAAGGTAAGATCAGAGGCAAGATTATAAAAGACTGAGAGCGAGAGGTTTCAGACAAATAGTAGAGAGAGAGAGAGAGAGGAGGCCCTTTAATACTAACCAAAAAAAAAGGAGGGGGGTTTTCGATAGGTATGAGGTAGTTGCATCGCCGTCAGGTTGTTGGAAGATTCTACATTCTGTACACTCTTCCGAATGCATTGCCAGTGGACTCTGGCGCGCTTCGCCGCGGCAAAACACGTGTCGAAATATCATGTCCCCTGAAACTACAAATCGCGAATTTTTTTATTTATTTCAGTAAGTACAAAAATCGTTGATTTGGACACGGAAGTCATGATTCTGACGAAAAATATTGAAGCCACGAAAAATGCTCCTATTAACACTCGGGAATTATCACTACCGGAGATGAGCCCCTTCACTTTCGTGATACTCAAGGTGTCGGATCGGCCTGCCCCCTTGTTTTTTTCCTTAGTTTTTGGCCCGGCCAGAGTCCAGCCCATTGCAACCCTTAAACGCAGTCCTTTGCCAATTAAACAAGGGCGTCCCCCTTATACTGTAGAAGTAAGACGTATATCTTAATTTTGTTTAGAGGTGCGGTGAAAATTTTATGACATACTAAAAATTTTGTTTTTATCTTAAATTATAAAGTTTAAAAATTCAAAAATGGTATAGATCTAATAGATTTATAAATACTATAAAATTTTGAAACTATGCAGTCTAGAAATTCCTTTTCCATCATAGCCATAATTGAAGTGGTAGAGACAATCAATTTCAGCTAAGGGTTTTATGCACCAGAGTAAAATATTTTCTATTTACTGCCTTGGACAAAACCAGTCTAGGAGTATTTCATGCACCCTAAATTTTGGGGATGTAACCTCTATACTACAGTCAATAAAATGTTTTCCATATTGCACTTTATGGGCTGGAAAAAATTAATTGAAAAGGTTTCTATACTTCCCCTATAGCATAAAAGAAACACCCTCCGATCCAACCGTTCAATTTATATCAAGTGAGCCACTCACCATTTGATCTATATCCGACGTCTCAAAGTATTTTATTTTAATTGTTTTTCAACAACTTTTATGACTAGGAAATTTGGTATGTATCATCTTTTCAATGGGACACGCCTACCAAAAATAATAATAATTCAATAAAATTTAATGACCAAAATATCCCTTGATGAATTTTGAGGTATTTTAATCATTTTATTTTATTGAGAATATTTTTTTTTTTTTTTTTTACAAGTACGATTTTAGGAGAGGAGTGGACAACCAAAATTTAGTATGAAAATATTTTTTAAAAAAAAATTAAAAATAAAATGGGGTAGAGACATGACATTATGATTGGGGTCATCTCAGTGGTCCATTTATAATTGACGTTTTGGTAAATGGAAGTATATAACTTTTATGCAATAGGAAAAACATAGAAAGCTTGCCCGAAAATAATACCACAAGATTGAATGGAAACAGATCAAATTTTGGTGGTGGAGATCTAGGTATTAGAAAACTCAAATATTCAAAATTTTCCTTTTGAATAAAATCATCTAGTGATCTTTAGGCTCTTCCCAAAATTTTGGATCAAAAACATCTTTCCAAATTAGTCTTCTATCCAAGGAAGTAAGTATATAGTATTTCTGCCGCGGGAGCACAGTTTACCTTCTCGTTAATTTCAAGATTTTTATTGTGATGGAACAACCTCTACCAAAATTTCTATGATCGGGCCTCTATAAACTTTTCCCTATATTTTAATTAGAGCGTATACTTATGAGTACTCTTGAGTCGTGTGTATTGAGGGCGAACTCCTCTTCAAAGTCATTTACATTACAAGTAGAATCACTCCCCTCTACCAAGCTCTTGCAATATGTAATAGCATGACATGCCATGTGAAGTTGATTCATAAATAAATTTGGGGGCCATTTAGGTACTTGAAAATCAAATTCCCATAAATTTTTATTTATTTATTTATTTATTTATTTATTTATTTATTTTTTTGAGATGGGACATTTCTTGTGTTTGGATCAATATTTTGGGACAGAAAAGTATTTCTGCAAGAAATAATTTTCCTCATTCGAAGCTGAAAATCAAGAAATTTATATCACTGCCTTTATCCTCTGAAATTGATTTCCAACTAGATTTCCCTATTACGAGATGCCCACTTTATAAAATACAATTAATTACACCAAAACAACCCCCACAAATTAGAGAGAGAAATTATCTTATATTATAAGTTTTCGAGAGAGAAAGTATCTTAAAATTTTAGAGATAGGAACTCATCTAATTTTAGAGAAAAACTATTTCAAATTTTAAGGTTTATAGAGAGAAACTATATCAAAACTTTTAGAGAGAGAAATTTTCTCAAATTTTAAATTCTAGAGAAAGAAAGTACCTAAAAACATTTAGAGAGAGATAGTATCAAAAAACATTTAAAGAGGGAAAACATCTCAAATTTTAAGTCTTAGATTGAGAAACTACCTCAACAATTTCAAAGAAAGAAACTTATCTCAAAATTTTTAGACAAAGAAACCATCTCAAATTTTCAGTTTTACAGAGAAATTTTTGACTTTGTGGCTTTTCAAGGTCACAAAGCTAAGAATCTTTCGCTTAGTGGGAGTAAGAGAGAGAATGAATCTGGGTGCTTGGTGCACTAGGGCCTAGATCCATATACCCAGAGTACACAAGGCAATGAGTATTTAAATTTTGAGAGTGTCATCTCTTGGGTAGGTATAAGGGTCACCTCCAAGTCCGGGCTATATTGATTAGGTTGTCTCATGCTTATGACAGTTGGTGAAGGTTAGGAGAACCAATCAAGTACAATAGAACTTGAGTAATTTGAGAGTATCTGCCCTGTATGAAATGCTTTATGACTTATGAGACAAAAATTTGAATCTTGATACGAGTTCTCTCCATGGTATGTGCACTTACAGTCGTAGGGAAAACTACTCTTTTGTAGTGTAATCCAACAAATAAGAGCCAGTGTACATGTGCCTTCAGAGGACCCCTATACTAAAGAAATAGTATGTGCCATAGGGGTGCACCTGCAATCCATTGAGAAGTCAATGATGGGAAGTTTTTGGTCAGTGACTTTGAAGTGATCAATTACATGTCTTAGCCATAGACAACAGAATATAAGTCCATTGGGTTAGCTTTAGACACCGATGTAACATCATTCAGGACTAGTCCAATGGAGTACTCCAATAACTAATGTTAAACCAAGATATCTCATTTACCTTCAATCTAACTATTTCATTGTGATGATAAAAAGGTATTTTAATGATGAGAAATAATTTAGAGAATATTCCAAAAAAAATTTAGAATTTTTAAAAAAATTTAAAACACCAGAATAGCCGTTTTCAATTTTGTTTGCTGAAATTCCTAGCGAGGACATCCCCGAGAATCCCACGTGGCACCCTAGTGGCCATAGGGTGGCCACGTGGAACCCCTGGGCCCTACTCACCTAATGACATCACCATGATACAATTAATGGTGTGTGGGGGCCTATTTGGAATTAGGTTGTCTGTTTTATTCTGTTATACGGTGCGGTTTCTATAAGGTTGTAACCTTCAACAATCA